ATGAGACTTTATAAAAAAACATCTAAAAAAGCCAGACCGATTCTGGAAAAGCATTCTTTGAATGGATGAAACTAAGATTAATCTGTAGCACAATGACTGGAAGAGAAAAGTGTGGAGAAGGCTTGGAACAGCTCATGATCCAAAGCACACAACGTCTGTAAAACATGGTGGAGGCAGTGTGATGGAATGGGCATGCATGGCTTCCAGTGGCACTGGGTCATTGGTGTTTATTGATGATATGATAGAAGACAGAAGCAGCCGGATGAATTCTGCAGTGTTTAGAGATATACTGTCAGCCAAGATTCAGCCAAATGCAGCAAAGTTGATTGGACGGCGCTTCACAGTACAGAAGGACAATGATCCAAAACACACTGCAAAAGCAGCCCAGGAGCTTTTGAAGAAAAAGAAATGGAATATTCTGCAATGGTCAAGTCAATCACCTGATCTTAACTGAATTGAGCATGCATTTCACTGCTGAAGGCAAAATTAAAGGCAGAAAGCCTGGCAAAGCATCAGAAAGGAGGAAACCCAGTCTATGGTAATGACCATGGGTTCCTGACTTCAAGCAGTCATTGCCAGTAAAGGATTCTCAACAAAATATTAAAATTGAACATTTTATTTATGATTATATTAATTTGTCCAATTACATTTGAGCCCCTGAGAATGGAGGGACTGTGTATAAAAATGGTTGCAGTTCCTAAAATTTGTTCTTGATATTTATGTTCAACCCCTTGGATTAAAGCTGAAAGTCTGCACTTCAGATTAATTTGGATTGTTTTGTTTTAAATTTATTCTGGTGGCATACAGAGCCAAATTGTGCAATTGTGTCCAAGTAATATATATGTGGACACAATTGCACAATTTTCATAATAGGATTCTCATCAAAATATTAAAAATGAACGTTTTATGATTATATTTAATTGTCCAATTACTTTTGGTCCCTTGAAAAAGGGGGTATGGCTACTTTTAGGAACTGTAATTCCTAAACCCAATTTGGATGTACATACCCTCAAATTAAACCTGAGACTGTGCACTTTCAGCCCATGTCCATTATATAACTATAGCTTGAATATGTTTTTGTAAATACCTGAAAAAAACTAAAATTGTGCCTGTGTCCAAATATATATGGACCTATGCAGTCAAATTTGAGAAACCCACACTTGTTTATTCCCATTCATGCAGCATTCCTAAAAAAAGTTTTTAAAAATAAAAAAGTTACATTTCTAGTTGTGCCGTTGGAGCAAGTTTATACATAGGGCTGCAGGCTCTTAATTTAAGCAGTTTATAGATGGATCGAATCTTGGCCAGTTTAGCAGGGACCGGCCGAGATGTGATGAATCTATGGGCAGGCTGGTTGTACTGAACCATCGATCGACTTCAGTACAACCAGCCTGTTGGATTTTTAGCATGCATTTCATTTTTAGCTCTAGCCACCAGCAGTGGTCATTGTGCTTTGCCAGCAGGTAAGGCTCCCTGCTGGCAGAACACAATAGTGCTATGGGAAGGATTTCTCCCTCAACACTAGCTGTGTTGATGGGGGAATTGAGTGGCTTGCCTTAGAGGGGCAGACTGAAGGAAGGTTCATTAACATAGAATGTACCACCCAAGCCCTGAGATCTTTAATCCTTAGGACAGACTGTGTTCAAATCTGATTTACAACTGGTAATGAAGATCTGTCAGCACAGTACAGACAGGATTAGTTATAGTAAACTTAACTCCCTTGCCCCCTCTTTTACATTACACATAAGGGAAAGCTAGGTAGCCTTTTTTAAGCAAACAAAAGCAAACAGAAATTTTTCCATTTTTTAAAGTTATCCTATATAAATGGAGACTTAAAGTGGTTCTAAAGGCTGAAGGTTTTTTACTTTCTATGCATAAAGGTAAAAAAACTTCTTTGTGCAGCATCCCTCCCCCAGCCCCCCCCCCCCCCCAATACTCACCTAAGCCCCCTCTTGATCCAACGATAGGCACTGGAGTCTAGGCTATCACTGGACTCACTCTTCTCATTGGCTGAGATAGAAGCGGGAGCCATCGGCTCCCACTGCTGTCAATCACAGCCAGTGAACCTATGAGAAGAGAGTGGGATGGGGCTGAGCTGTGGCTCTGTGTGTGATTGGATATACTAAGCAGCGAGTGCCCCCAGGCAAGCTGCTTACTGTGGGGGCACCTCTCAGGAGGGAGGGGCCAGGAGGACCGGCGAGGATCTGAGCAGAGGAGGATCCTGGCTGCTTTCTGCAAAACCAGGTAAGTATAGACATGTTTGTTGTTTAAAAAAGAAAAAAAAAGCCTTTAGAAACACTTTAGCAAATATAAAGTAAATGTTATCCCAATTTGGCTGCAAAGTGGAAATACACTTTAGATAAACACACCGAAGGTAAAAGAAAAAAGCTGTTTTTAAGATACTGATCTTTTGTATTTGCAGGGTATGACATCGCCATCCTTCCAATGTGATCCTAGAGAATTCACAGTGCAATGGCATCTTTTGCAAGATTTGGGCTACTCTATATTACTCAGGATCTCACTGGAAGGATAGTGATGTCAACCTCAATTAGGCGCCAATGGCAGAAGCTGGGGTTAAAGTAAAATGTTATCTCCCTTTTTTATCTACGGGGTTTTTTTTTTTGTTTTTTTTTTAGGTTTTGTGCAGCAAATAGGGGAGGGGGCCCTGGGTAAATAAAGGAACCCTGCATTTTTGGTGCAAGGTCTACTTTTACGTTAGACACAGGTAAGCAAATGGTATTTTCTTCAGTAATGGCAGCCCCTGTATTTCCCTCACATTAAAGGCAAAAAGAGAAACAAATGAAAATCCTTAGCAGTCTGAAGTTTTTATTGTGCAACTGGTCACAACAAGCAGGTCAAAAGTACAGACAACGCGGTTCGGGGGCCACACAATCCCACTTTCAAGGGTGTGTAAACCTTAAAGTGGACCTATGCTCACCATCAGCCTAGCGATGTGGTATCCTGGAGCTTCCCGCTGGCCACTGACAACTTCAATTGGGGTATCAATCGCAAGCCGCTTTCATTGGTTGAGCCAAGATGACGTCACTCCGGTGCACGGAGGTTCAATTGGCTCGGCATCGTCAAATTTATACAATACGTTGCACATGTGCATTTCACTGTACAGGAAGGTAAGTAACTTTAACCCAAAAGAGACCTAGCAAGTCTCTTCTGCATTCTAAATCCTTCCTGTTAGTCCATTTTTAATAATTGCCTTAAAGTTTCACTTTAACAATAAAAGTTTCATAATTGCTTCCTTTTGGTCTGTTAAATATATCATTGAAAGCAGTTTGTTAGATATGTTTGATAAGTGCAAAAAAAAAATACCAGTTAATACAACCTATCCAGTGTGTTTTGCTCTCTTCTTGTGTTATTCCAAAGAGACTATTTAGCCCACCATGTTCTTATCTTGAACATCAAGTAATCTCTGTGCCATGGATAAGAAGACAATGGGAGTGGTTGAGTAGTTTATTTTAGCAAAAGATAATGTGCAGGGCTGACACCACTCAGTCCACAAAAATGCTTTATGTTGTTAGCCCACAATGGCAAATTAGGAGTCAAGTGCATTCTACTACGTCAATGGGTATTTTTTTAGTACTCCCAGGCTCTTAGCCACATCCCATCCTGTTCATAAGTAGCCTATGGTTGAAGTGGCTATTCTGGAATCATGATACATCAGTTACAACCATGATCCCGGTATGTTTTTTTTCAGCGGATGATTCACTACAAAATAATAGTAATCCTAGTGGCAAAACAGCCACTGAATTACTGTTACAGGTGGTGGAAGGGGTAAACCTCACCCCCAACACCTTTACCAGGCTCTCCCATCCGATCGAGGAGCCTGGTAAGGATGCGACCAGTGGTTCATACTTCTTTGGACACATTGAGACGAACTGATGTTGTTGTGATGTCATAAACTGGAAGAGATGAGGATTTTGTCACTTCTGGTTTTGGTCTCATGTAAACAAGCCATTACTGGCTTGTGAAAGCATCTGATCAAACCGATCTTGGTTTAATCAGCTACTTTGGAAGCCAGAGGGTGTGGGCGTACCCCTGAAGATGTGGATGCGCACAAAACGCATTGGGAGGAGCCACACTTGCTGACATCACAGCGCCGCTACCAAAGTTTGGAAGCGGTGGCCATCTTGGTACTTTGATTTTATCCTTACTTTTGCCTGTGGCGGAGCCTTTCAAGTTAGATCTTCTTGCTGTTTCTTGGCTCCTTGATGTGATGTGCATATATGCTATTTACCAGCAGCTTTTCTGGTGAGGTTACATCTGGCAGAGAATGTGGATTTCCTCACTGGATCAAAATCACAGTTTATCCTTCACTGTGATTTCTGTGCCTTGCAGTCCCATGGACACTATTATCCATTTATATTATCCATTTATATTTTATATGGACTATATTTCTATTTATCTCACTTTATGTGGTGCACTTAACTGTTTCACTTGACATTATTTAATTTAATTAGTGCTGCACTTTTATACTTTTAGATGTTGTTACCTTTACCTTGTGTGCTAGCTGCTTTTTCATTGTACTTGTTTACAGCGCTCGCCTATACACAATATATTTGCATGTCCCAGCCCATGCTTTCATGATGTTGTTCATCCCTTGTGATAGCAGTAAAGTTGATAACATTTTTTAAAACAAACTGGAGTAAAATGAAAAATAATAAAAAAAAATGAAATTGCCCCCATCCTCTCGTGCTCACATGCAAATGCTCACATGAATGTACCATTTTATTATCTAGGGCCTCTGCTTAAAATATATAATGTATAGGGGTTCTAAGTAGCTTTCTAACAAAAAAAATGCTGATTTTTACATGTCAGATTTGTCCTGGACTGGAATTGATTAAAAAGGATAAAACATGGGGAAATGTGCATGTGCAGGAAAGAAATGTGCTTTTTTTTATTCACCGTGACATACACTTTAAATAAAGACAAGTTCCATGTGCACTAACCCTAACCTTGTCTCTTCATGCCAAATCTTGCCTCTTTAGGAAGGAACAACAGCATCTCCTATCCCCCGTGAATTGCTTGTATATGATTCTTAACCACACACGTCAGGAGAGTCGGGACTATGCAGCACTTAGTGATGTTTACACCACACACCTCATCCCCCGCCTGGCACATATCGGAGAGGACCTTACTCGCCTCACCAAGAAGGTGAGGACTTGTATAGTATTATCGGGCCAATTTCTATTCTTTCTTCTTTTTTCTCATCAGCTTGCTGTATTGGAAGTGTTTTTAGATTCCTGTTGCACATTTCCCTCTTCCTGTTATCTCATAATTACAAACTACACTGCTCAAAAAAATCAAAGGAACACTTTTTAATCAGAGTATAGCATTAAGTCAGTGAAACTCCTGAGATATTGATCTGGTCAGTTAAGTAGCAAAGGGGGTTGTTAATCAGTTTCAGCTACTTTGGTGTTAATGAAATTAACAACACGTGCACTAGATAGGCAACAATGAGACAACCCCCAAAACAGGAATGGTTTTACAGGTGGAGGCCACTGACATTTTTTTCCCTACTCATCTTTTCAGACTGTTTTCCAATAGTTTTGCATTTGGCTAGGGCCAGTGTCACTAATGGTAGCATGAAGCGATACCTGGACCCTACAGAGGTTGCACAGGCAGTCCAACTCCTGCAGGATGGCACATCAATATGTGCCATTGCCAGAAGGTTTGCAGTGTCTCCCAGCACAGTCTCAAGAGCATGGAGGAGATTCCAGGAGACAGGCAGTTTTTGTAGGAGAGCTGGACAGGGCCGTAGAAGGTCCTTAACCCATCAGCAGGACCAATATCTGCTCTTTTGTGCAAGGAGGAACAGGAGCACTGACAGAGCCCTACAAAATGACTTCCAGCAGGCCACCGGTGTGAATGTCTCTGACCAAACAATTAGAACCAGACTTCATGAGGGTAGCCTGAGTGTCAGATGTCCTCAAGTAGGCCCTGTGCTCACTGCCCGGCACCATAGAGCTCGATTGGCATTTGCAATTGAACACCAGAATTGGCAGGTCTGCCACTGGTGCCCTGTGCTTTTCACAGATGAGAGCAGGTTCACCCTGAGCACATGGAGCATCCTTACATTCCTAACACATTACCCAGTCCATATTAGTATAGATATCCAGCATGATATTTTTCCCCATTGAGATCTGATGTGTATGCAAAGTGTTCCATTAATTTTTTTGAGCAGTGTATTTTAGAGGAACTGGCTTGACCTTTCTGACCTAAGCAGGACTTGAAGGGCCACCAATAAATATCACAAATTCTTTTTTGTTTCCCATGCCATTATTTGTAATGTTGTTTACAATTATACCTTGACACATGTGCATTAAACATCACAGTGACAGAGATCAATAGCACTGCCAAGGGTGCTTACAATGTGCACCTTGTATTCACATGACTTGAGGTGCAACTGCCCAAGCTCCCAGGAAGTGCCATAAATTGTCCCAACACCTATCACCTTTGGTAGACAGCATATCTGCATGTGAAGGTGAAATTCATATAATGAATATCATTAAAAAGTATGAACTGCCTACAGATATCAGAATCCAATATTTTTTACTACAATGGTGTTTTTAAGGTAATCTACAGTTAACGTTTTGATGTTGTTTACTTGATATTGATACTGTTGGTCAGCAGGAGGAAAGATGTCTGCTTACAAATGTGTTTTTGGAAAGAAGATGCCTCCCTTGTCGTGATTGAAAGCAGGAAGAAAGATGTTTCGTACATGGGTGTCACCGGGAACAAGCCTTCCCCCTTATATTTATTGTTGGAAGGAGGAATGATGTCCCTAATATGGATGTTTTTGGGCTGAAGTATTCCCCCTTATATTTCTTGTCCACAGGAGAAGAGATGCCCCTTACATGGGTGATATTGGAAAGATGCCTTCCCCCTTATATTTTTTATTGGCTGGAGGAAAGATGCCCCTGACATGGATGTTTTTTAGAAGAAGCCTTCCCTATATATTCTTTGTCAGAAGCCTTCCCCCTTGTATTAATTTTTGACAGGAGGAAGATGCCTGTTAAATGTGTGCTATTAAGAAGAAGGCTTCCCCTTATATTCTTTGTTGACAGAAGGACAAAATGTCCCTGACATGGGTTTTGTTGAGAAGAAGAATGCTCCCTTATATGCTTTGTCAGCAGGAGGAAAGATGCCCCTTACATGGGTGTTAGTTGTAAGAAGTAATTCCCCTTATAGTTATTGTCAGCATGAGGAAAGATGTCCCTTTCATGGGTGTTTTTGGAAGGAAACCTTCCTTCTTATATTCTTTGTTGGAACTAAGGAAGATGCTCTTGAAATGAATGCTATTGGGAAGAAGCCTTCCCCCTAAAATCATTTTTTCAGCAGGAGGAAAGGTGTCCCTGACACAGGTGCTATTAGGAAGAAGCCTTCCCCCTTAGATTCTCTGTGGGTTTTTTTTGGAAGAAGCCTTTCTCCGTATATCCTTTATCCATTTGGAGGGGGGGGGGGTGCCCCTTACATAGATGTTATTGGGAAGAAGCCTTTCCTCATATATTCTTTGTCAGCAGGAGGAAAGATTTCCCTTATAAGGGTTTTATTTGCAAGAAGCCTTCCCTCTTATATTCTTAGTCACTGGGGGAAAGATGTCCTTTACATGAGTGCTATTGGGGAGGTGCAGCATGGTATGGCAGCAGTAAACACCCAGAGTCCAGTACAGGAAATGGAACTTATATTAAAGTTAATGTTCGTAAACTTCATACTTCATAGCAGATCCGGCGGGAAGGCACTCAACCGGGAACACTCACAGAGATGTGTAGCAGAGCAGGTCTCAAATGTGCCAACAGCATCTGACTTGAAGGGCGGAACTTACCCAAATGGGAGGCTTCTAGGAAGGATGATGTGTATCTACCTCTTTCCCTACCCGTCTGGAAACTCTTCCTACCACTATCCACTCTCCTTGCTCTCCCTGACAGATGAGTGACCTTTCTCGACACATGCGGAATGTGTGCCAAGCCCAGGAGCCAGGGTCTTAAAGTATAACTAAAGGCAAAAATATATTTTTTTTTTTAGTTTTAGATAGAGTGGAGAGAGATTAGAACACCTGCTAGGTTTTTATCAGTCTGTGCCCCATTAGGGATATTTACCCTTTCTATTTGTACTGCTTACCGTCATCATTGAACGTAAAAGGAAAAGAAACCCCACATTTTGGGTTATCCCCAGAAAAATAGTGGAGAGGAAATTTTCCAATGGGGACACTAGCTCTAGTGACCTGGGAGTCCCCAAGGAATTCCCTTAATTTTCAGGGATTTTCTGTTACTTCCTGTTTTGGCTATGGGACTGAAAAAGAAGGTAAATCTCTCCAATGGGACGCGGATGGCAAAAAATAAACTGACAGGGGTTATAACCCTTACTTACTCTATCCAAAAGCAAAAAAAAAAAGTTTTGCCTATAGTTCTACTTTAAACAGACTCTGCCTGACCTAAGATGGTTGCCACAGGGGCAGTAGCATCCAACCGGATAGCTTTCCAGTGACCCAGGGAACCATAGAAGAACAATGTTCCTCTTGACTTCCTCTGCAATGCCGCTGTGGTTGAACGGCACCTATAGTGGAGAATGCAGACTGCACTTGCCTACAAGTATAAACTTATTGGCAGCAAAAGGAGATGTACCCCTTGCAAGGCAGGTATTGGAAAGATGCCTTCCCCTTTATATTCTTTGTCAGCAGGAAGAAAGACACCCCTTATATGGGTGTTGCTAGGAAGATGAATGCTCCTTTATATTATTTTATCAGCAGGAGGAAACATGCCCCCTTATATTGTAGGAAGAAACATTCTTCCTTACATTGGTGGTAAGGAGGATAAAAAAAATATTTTTATGTGAGTGTTTTGGGAAGAAGAATGCCCCCTTATTTCCTTTGTCAGCAGGAAGAAAAATTCCCCAGTATAAGGGGAAGTGTCTTTGAAGAGTGTCCCCTTTGTCTTTGTCAGCAGAAAGAATGTCCTCGTAAAGTGTTGGTCAATGAGAAGAAGAGTTGTGCTCAGAAGGAGCAAATGCCCCCTTACAATGGTGGTCAGTGGGAAGGGTGAATTCCCTTTGTATTGGTGGCCAGTGGAAAGAAGAATGCCCACTTATATTTGTATTTAGTGGAGTGAGGAATATTCTTCTACATTGGTGATCATTGAGAGAAAAATGCCCCATTATATTGCTAGTGAAAAGGAAATATGTCCTCACATTGGTGGCCAACAGGAGCGAAAAATACCCCTTTACATGGATTGTTAGTGGCATAAAGAACACCACAAATGTTTGTGTCCCTTCTGTAAAATCTACTTTTAGTCCAGGCTCAGACAGAACAGGAAGCAGAGGTAAAAATTCTTTAATGGGGGCAGAGCATCAAGCCCAGAGTTTCTAACCCTTCCATACTCTATGCAAATCTAGATTGACTTCTGCTTTACAAACGTAACACTTCATCATAGCTTCACTTAGATGTGGTCTTGGTGAGATGTGGCCATATGGGAAATGTTTGGGTGGATTCAAGTTGGGACGTTTGACTATTTCAAGAAGTCATCTTTCCTGTCTAACTTCCTCTTTTTTATATACGCACACCCACACACCGACATTTTTACATAACTCTGGGTTGCCTTTTGTGTTCGAAATATACATAACTGCTCCTATTACAAAATGTTAGGGTCAAACTTTTTGGTTTGAGGTTGTGTTGCAGTATAATACTACTTTTACATATCTATTTCCTGACAATTTTAGTTAACACTATGTTTACCTCTCTTACCTGCAGAGTAAAGATATTGGGGCTCAGCAGCAGGAAGATCTGATGAAGCTGATGTCAGAGCTGCAGGGGGTGAGTAAAGGCATGCATATACCATTATCAAATTAGGCTTTGTGTTGCCTTTGGACAGTCTGGCTTCATTGCTTTCTGATCTTGTCCTTGCTCAGTAAACTACTCAAACTATTCAAGAAACTGTGCAATGATGTAAAAACCAGAGTTACATTAAAGGAAAAGTATAGTGTATATCTAGTAAGCACAAATGTGGGTTATTTATGCAGTGTTATCCTTAAAGTAGTTTTTGATGTTTTCAAGTTTATACAAGCTTGCTCTTCCATGTTTTTATTATTGTATTAAATATAGAAGTTTGTGAATGACCCAATAGAGGGAGCACTCAGCCTCATTCAACCTCTTAACAACTTGGAATCAGATGTCAGGTTATGCACATGGCCATACCTGGCCACACAGCAACAATTCCAGTGTATTTTGCAGCCAAGCAGCCAACAGGTGCAGTGTACAGCTGCCTATAGAAGTCAATCTCTGTATGCAGCTATACACATTGCGAGCTGGAGATAGATAACTGGTGCAATGCTCCCTGAGTTTTTAGGCACAGATGCCAGTCCATAAATGAGTTGGCAAACAGTGGTGAGTTTATTTGTGCTAGTTACAGGTTTCTTTGGCTGCATTCAGAAGTCCCCTAGGGGGTCTCTGTAGAGTAACTGAAAAAAAAAGAGTACACGGTAGAGGCCTGAGAACTGAGGGATAATGGCAAACATCAAGTATAGAAGTAAATGGTCCCAGTTTTTTCCATCCTTGTCAATCACCTTTTTTTAACATACACTTTGAGATCTTATTAAATTGCTCCACCAAGCCATCAGTTTGAGGGTAATACAAATGTGTCAACTTAAACAATTTGCACAATTCCGTGGTTCTCTTTAGGGATCCTGACACAACTGAACACCAAAAACAATTCCTTGGCAATGTTCTTGGCAGACATATTGCACAGAGGAATTCCCTCAGGGTAACAGAATATGCTGATTGGCCCTGGGTAGACTTGGGTAGTGGTCCCACAAGGTTCATGACAATTTTCTCAAAGGGCACTTCAATTTGAATGGCACGTCGAAAGTGGACAGGATCCTGGACAGGATTAACAATAAATCTCAGTTTCTTTTTATACCCTAGGCCAGTGTTTTTCAACCTTTTTTGTGCAAAGGCACACTTTTTTCATGAAAAAAATCACGAGGCACACCACCATTAGAAAATGTTAAAAAAATTTACCTCTGTGCCTATATTGACTATATATAAAGTAATTCTCTTGAATAGGAATCAAACACAAAGAAATTATTTTATAATTACTTTATTATGAAATAATAAAGTATTTTATAATTGGACCCGGGGGCCGGACCAAGAGTAGATGAATGATGTGTATGTGTCATCCATAGTAAGTATAGTAATATTCCCCCATAGTAAGCATAGTAATTAATCCCCCATATAGTAATTCATCCACCATAGTAATTCATCCCCCATAGTAATTCATCCCCCATAGTAATTCATCCCCCATATAGTAATTCAGCCCCCATATAGTAATTCATCCCCCATATAGTAATTCATCCCCCATATAGTAATTCATCCCCCATAGTAATTCATCCCCCATAGTAATTCATCCCCCATATAGTAATTCATCCCCCATAGTAATTCATCCCCCATAGTAATTCATCTCCCCCATATAGTAATTCATCCCCCATAGTAATTAATCCCCCCATATAGTAATTCATCCCCCATATAGTAATTCATCCCCCATAGTAATACATCCCCCATATAGTAATTCATCCCCCATAGTAATTCATCCCCCATATAGTAATTCATCCCCCATAGTAATTCACCCCGCATATAGTAATTCATCCCCCATATAGTAATTCATCCCCCATAGTAATTCATCCCCCATAGTAATTCATCCCCCCTATAGCAATTCATCCCCCATAGTAATTCATCCCCCATATAGTAATTCATCCCCCATAGTAATTCACCCCCCATATAGTAATTCACCCCCCATATAGTAATTCATCCCCCATATAGTAATTCATCCCCCATAGTAATACATCCCCCATAGTAATTCATCCCCCATAGTAATGCATCCCCCATATAGTAATTCATCCCCCCTATAGTAATTCATTCCCCATATTAATTCATCCCCCATATTAAGTCCCCAAGCCCCCCCTGTGTCAATTCACTTACCTTTGCGCCGCGCGTTCCTCTCGCCGTTCCGGTGTAGGTCTCCTATGAGGATCTGTCCCCCTCGACGTATCTGCGCATGTGCCAGTTTCAGGCATTAGCAGCCGATCGGCAATCTCCGGCACATGCGCAGATACGTCGAGGGGGACAGATCATCCTGACAGTATCACGCTCCGTGGGCCGGATTAAAAGGTCCGCCGGGCCGTATACGGCCCGCGGGCCGTAGTTTGCCCGTCTATTTGTGAGCCGAGGCAATTTTTCCCACGGCACACCAGACAATATCTCATGGCACACTAGTGTGCCGCGGCACAGTGGTTGAAAAACGCTGCCCTAGGCCAGTAAAACCGTCATAATATTCTTTCAGTAGCTTTTCCAACAATAAAAGACCTCCCAGCAAGTGTTCATGGGCGAGTACCACCCTTCTCTATGGCTTAGGGGTCAACAGCTACCCAATGATTTCACCATTTTTTTCTAAACTTGATACAACAAATCTTCATTGCAAGTAAGGAAAGCATAGCCTGTCCCCTTTATCAACAGGTGTATCATTGACCATCACATCACAATGTTTTCCCAGGCCCTGGCAAGGGTAGGGCTTTTTCTCTGCTCAGTACAAAAGTTTTCACTAGGCATATTAAGATTGGCAAACTCCAGAGTAACCTCAGTGTCAGCAGTGGGCTGTCTACTCTCATTTGCTGTATAGACTTCCGCAGACTCCTCCAGTTCTCCTGCCAAAACAGAGAAAGGAAAAAAATGGGTGTTGCCAAGAGGAGTACTCTGCAGCCAATTCTCTGTGCAGGTCATATACTCTGGCTCAGCCACTTATTCAGATACTGTGACCCAGTTTGGAAGATCCCAAAATTCAGGGAAATCCCTCAGTTAAGTGGGGAAAAACTCCAAACAGATGAGTCGCAATACTAAGGTTCATTTCAGACTTCACTGTTTCTAGATGTAGTACCCTCCTAAGTAGGTGCTAGGATTAGATAGATAGAATAAGTTATGTTTTTGATAGTTAATCCCTTCATGCTGACGTGACACACAAATATGTGGCCTCACAGAACTGGGCTTTTTTCCGTGGGGCAGCATATTTGCATACCTGTCTTTCTGCTGGGAGTGTGCCGCACAGCGCTCCCAGTACAAAGACCGCGGTGTCACTGAGAGCCATGGGTCCCGTTCTAACAATCGGGAGCCGGGACTCCCGATTCCAACGATCATGACCCGGGACTTCCGATTCCGGGTCACATGATCGCTGTGATAGCCTCTGATTGGCTATCACAGTGATCAGTCACTGTACAGCCAGGCCCCTTGTTTTTTTTTCTCTCTATGAATGGAGGAGAGAGATACATTACATCTCGCTAACTCCTGGCATAGAGGGGAAAAAAATTTTGTAAAAAAAAAAAAAAAAAGATAAATATTAAAAAAGAAAATAAAGAAAAAATACCTAGATCAAGGTTTGATCTAGTTCAGTGCCAGGGTAAGTGTTTGGATCAAGGTCAGGGTCAATGGTCAAGGTCAAAAGGTCAGGGTCAAAGGTCAGAATAAAAAAAAATTGGTGTCAGTGTGTTTCTGGGCTGTACTACGGGTACAAACAGCAAATAACATATACATATATGGTATCGCTGCGATCGTCAAGAGCTGTAAAATGTATTTTGGGTTGTTCTTTGGTGGTAGGTTATGGTAGTAACAAGAAAACACACAGCTAATTTAAAAATAATATTTTTTTTTTTTTTACTATTTTGGGTCAGTTTTCCTTTGATAATAATAAAAAAAATCAGTTGATATCCATTACCATTTACCACCAAATGAAAGCCCAATTTGTCCTGAAAAAAACAAGGTATAATTCACCTGGATGTACAAAGTAGTTGTTATTATTATTATACAGGATTTATATAGCGCCAACAGTTTGCTCAGCGCTTTACAATATAAATATAGTTGTGATTATATGTACGGTTTTACTAACACAATGCAAAATTGTGCTTAGGCATTTAGATTTGTTTTACCCTTAGGCATGAAGGGGTTAAACTTAGTTGTCACTCTGTAGTCAGAGTGGCTGTAAATATTTGTTAGGAAAAAGCATAGTTAGCTCACTGTACTTGGTGAGCTGTGATCATTTAGTTAGGCCTGCTCTGTCTGCTCAGCTGGTGCTAATCTGCCTAGCTTCCTGTGTATCCAGGAACCTTTAGAAGTTTCTGGATGATAGGTGTGACATTATACAGATGGCAACATGAATATTGATACAGCCTCAGTCTATCCCAGAGAGAGGGGCTCTAAGGCATGCTGGGCAACTGTATATATGCAGTGAGCACACGGTGCTCTGGGATCTTTCCTGTCCAGGACTGATCCAGCCTGGGAGAGGGCACATTGCCCTCCCAGGCATCCACTGCCATGGGTGACCTGAGTGCCTGAATGCTGAGACGTGGATCCTGCTATACTGACTGAGGATCTGTCTACTAAAGATCTGGTCTGGTATCACGGAGGAAGGCCTCCATCTGCTCTTTGGCCTTATGAGTACTGACATCCCTGAAGGGTCTTAGAGACTGAGTGCTATTTAATCCCTCTGGTGCTAGGAAGTCAATTGTGGGTCTAGCAAAGGGAACACTGGCTGCTGTTCGAAAGAGCTTTGTCCACCTGGCATACTTTTAAAGGGATACTGAAGAAGTTACTGCTACTACTACTACCTCTGTTATTACTACTACTTTTTAATTTAAGCACGGACTCTGACATAGCTTGCCCTGAAGATTAGATAAAGTCCTCAATGTACATAGCTCCTTTTTATGTAGTATCCCTCTCACCTCCCTCATCCCTATCCAAGTTCTCAAAAAAAAAAAAGAAAGAAAAACAACATT